GGCGGCTGCGGGGCGGGGTTTGAGGGATAGGTCCCGCCCCTCCTAGCTCTCGGCCCCGCCCTCTGGGCCCATGCCCTGCAGCCACCGCGGCCCCGCGCGAGTCCCCGCTGTTCAGGACCATGCAGGCGGTGGAACGCACATTTTCTCAGCGCCCTGGTGGGGCTTGGGCCTTGCGCCTTGCGCCTATGCACGCTGTGTCCTGCAGCTATTTCCCGCGCTGGGCCTCTGTGTCTACACCTGCTGGGGTGGGCGTGCTGGCTTGATAAGGCTGCTGAGGGGCGTCTCTTTCCCGCGGGGATTCTCTCGCCGTCACAGGGCTTTTGAGGCTGGAAGGCAGGGATGGTCTGTGTCGTGTCTTCCCTCTTAGGCAGGCATCGTTTACAGGTAGCAGCAGATTGGGTCCTCCTGTGCTTATTTCCCGCACTTTACCGTTGAGGAAATGAGACCAGGAATGGCCGAGAAGCTTGCTCAAGGTCATCCTACTCCTAGAGTGGCAGAACCCACGCGTGAACCCTGACGGAGTGTCCGGGTGGGGACTGACTTGGGGTTACAGCGGTTAGGGTTAGGCTGGGTGGCTTCGGTGTGCCCTTGCGGGGGCATTGCCCTGGGCATCCTCACAGTCACTCAGACCTGGCAGCTCAGGAACCACCTTGGTAGGTGAGCCTCTTGCTCAGAGCTGGAGGCCATGCAGGCACTTAGGGAGGCGGTGGAGGTCCAGCCTTGCCTAGGGGTTTGGCTAATTCTGCCTATTTGCTCTGCTTTTGTGGCGGGGCCTGAGTTCTTGGGGGAGGGGTTCCCAGGTAATAAGGCTGAAGTGGGGAGCATGCATCTCTATCCTGGTTCCCCTCAGTGGGCTTCCAAGGAGGATTTAATGCGTGTGTTTTCATGTGTTGGCACCTGTGTGAAGGCATGGAGAGGTGGCTGCTGCGCTCGCTCTGAGCGCTTGCTGTGTTCAGGCTTGGGTGAGCAGCCAGGAAAGCAGTCACCAGCCCCGTTTTCCTGCAACTCACTATCAGGTGGGGCACATGGATTTTTTTGTTAAGTTCACAGAAGATTAAGGGTCAGAAAGAAACCCAGCAGGTGGGACAGAGCAGAGAGGTTGGGGGAGGGGGTGGGGGTTGGGGCTGGAGGGGTGCTGGCCAGGCCATGGCGGGCCTAAAGGCTGTGCAGGGTGTATGTGCTGCCCTCTAGGTGAGCTAAGGAAGCCTCTGACTTGAAGCAGCAGATTCATAAGATTAGAGAGGGGTTTAAAATGATTGTCTGGCAGCTGTGGAGAGCAGAAGGAGGAGTGGCCTAGACTGAAGGAGGGAGGAGCCCACACAGAAGCCTGCAGACAGGGGGAAGTTAACCTAGACTAGGGGATAGCAGTGCAGATGGGGAAGCAGTGTGGGGGTCTTCTTGGCTGACATACAGTTCAGTATGGTCACCACCAGCCACAGGGACTATTTAAGTAAAATTAAAAATTGAGTTCCTCAGTTGCAGTAGTCCCATTTTCAGTGCTCAATAGCCCCATGTGGCTAGTGGCCACTGTATTTGGCAGCTCAGAGAGAACATTTCTATCCATGTAGAAAGTTCTAGGCAGTATGATCTATGCTACCTGGTGCACTGGATTTCCTGGTAAGGGGAGGGAAGATCAAAGGGGACCCCAGGGTTTTTGGATTGAGCCTTGGAGGATGCAGCTCACTGAAGTGGGGTCATCTAGAGGGTGGGACCTGGTGGAAGAGTCACACCGGCCATCTCCTCTGCTTTTGCTGGTGCCGGTTTCCCTAATTTCTGACAGCTTCTGGTGTGTCCACCTGTTGTCAGTACTTTTTGGTACCTGTCCCTTAAAAAGTAATCTTAATCCTTCTGCTCCTTAAACCTTCACAGAAACAAAGAATGAAGTTGGCTTGTCATTGTAGACTTTAGGTGTAAAATCATGGAGGCAGATTTTTGTCCTGCTACGAAGTACATAGGTTCTGTGTCTTTGCATTTCAGGCATTGAGAACCTTCCCTGTGAACTTCAGAGGAACTTCCAGCTGATGCGAGAGCTAGACCAGAGGACTGAAGGTGGGTCTAGGCCTCTTAATATAGTTGGAGTTGGGTTCTGATAGCAACTCACCAGTGTTGGGGGAGGAAGCAACAGGAGGTTGTGTGGGTGACAGGGTTCTGAGGGGACCTGGTGTAGTGGGGCTGTGGCCTAGGCCTTGGGCATCATATAGTGTCTTGTGATACTTTCAAAATCAAATTTAGGATTGGGCATGTGGCTCTTGCTTGTAATCCCAGCACTTTGAGAGGCTGAGGCAGGAGGATCACTTGAGCCCAGGAGTTCAAGACCAGTCTGGTCAATATAGCAACACTTCATCTCTACAGATTTTTAAAAAATTTCTATTTTAAAAGTGTGTGCATAGTTTAAAAAGGTAGTGCTTTTTGTCTGCTATTAAACTCCCTGTTTCCAAACAACATGTTTTTGTTGCTGTTTCTTATTTCTTGCCAATTTTAGACTTTGTCTATTCCATCTGTTAGGGCAAATGCAGATATCCTTCTTTATTCTCTTTCCCCTCCCCTCCCCATCTTCCTCCCCCAGCTCCTGCTTCCCTCCCCCATTTCTTGGTGTAGTCTGTGAGAATTTGTGGGGAGACTGGTGCTGGGGCTTCCTTGGGGCAGCTGTGTAGGTAGTTTTAAAACTGAGCCTTGCCATGTGCTGTGCATACAGGACCTCTTTTGAATAACTTTGTGCTTTTCTTGGTGTTACTAATTGCCTCATTTTTTGGCTTTGTTTTCCGTTTTCATCCTTCTCTCCCTCACCGCCACAGGCTTTCATTGTGGGCTACTAGTTCCCTGCGCACTTTTACAGAGCCCTCTGTCCTGGAGGCCATTGTCCTGATTGTTTCTAGGCCTGCTGTATAGTTGTTGTCCTGGGGTCTCCCTTCATTCCTCTTCAGTGTGGGATCCTCTTCGCTGGATCTGTATAATTTATTTACTTATTTTTAAATTTTAATTTCTTTTAGACAGGATTTTGTTCTTTTACTCAGGCTGGAGTACAGTGGCACAATCATGGCACGCTGCAGCCTCTAACTCCTTGATATTCCTGCCTCAGCCTCTAAAATAGCTGAGACTACAAGCACGCACCTCCCTGCCTGAGTAATTTTTAAACTTTTTTGTGGAGACAAGGTCTCACTATGTTGCTCAGGCTCCTCTTGAACTCCTGGCCTCAAGCAGTCCTCATCCCTTGGCCTCTCAAAGCGCTGGGATTACAGCATGAGCCATCTTGTCTGGCCTTTCCTGGATCTTAAACATTCTTTCTTTTTTAAAATTTGCTTCCTTGTTTTGGTGGCACCTTTTCTTTATTCATTTTCTGAAAAAAAGGTACATAGAAATGTAAATTTCTTATAAAACTGCATGTTTGAAAATGTGTTTGTTCTAGCCTCATATTCAATTGATAGTTTAGCTGCATATAGAATTCCAAATTGACAGTTATTTTCTCTCAGAATGTTGAAGGCATTGCTGCATTGTCACCTGGCTTCCAAGTTGCTGTGGAGAAATCTGATGCCATTTAGATTCCTGATCCTGTGTGTGTGTGTGTGTGTGTGTGTGTGTGTATTTTTTCTATTCAGAAGCTTTTGGGGTGTTCTCTTTATCCCTGAGGTTTTAAATTTTGTGATGATGTGTTTTGATTTGGGAGAGTTTCCATTCATTGTGCTGGGTACATGTTTTGCATTGGAGTCACTGTGTTTTTTCGCTTAGGTACAACATCTTGACTAAGGAATATAGAAACTTCTTTTACTGTGAAATAAAGCATGCATTCAGGAATAAGTGTAAAACGTTTGTAGATTGCTTAACAAATATTACCAGGTGGAACCTGTTTCCACTACCCAGATGGAGCAATCAAGCCCTCTAGCACCTGAAAGGCTGTGTGACACCCCTCCCCCACCAAGAGGCTACCACCCAAAGTTTGCTAATAATCCTTTTCCATCTTCATCGATGGTTTTCTCACTTCTCTAAACCAAAGCATTAAGAGTTGTGTCTGTGTTAGCCCTTAGTTTTAACAGAATCATACAATATGTTTTCTTTTGTGTCTTGCTTTCTTCACTCAATACCACTTTTTGTGGGATTAATCCACATTGTTATCTGTGGCTGTAGTTCATTCTTTTTGTTGCTAGGTGAATGGACCATGGCTTATCTGTCAATTTTACTGTAACTGGGACGTGGGTATTTTTCTGTTTTCTGCTGTTTTGAATGTTTTCTTATGTCTATCCTGGTGCCTGCGTACTCAGATTTCTTTAGGGTATGTAAAAACAGTAGCATAGTATGCCAGGCTGTAAGTAAGGGTCCACATAATTATTCCTACAGGATGCTTGAGAGTCAAAGAGAGCACTGTGACTACTTGCTGGATAGCAGTCAGAAACTGGACTTTTCTGGGCAAGCTGCCTTGCCATAAAGTCCACATGTGCACATAATACCAGATTTTGCACAGAACAGTTGCACCCACTGGTGCTCTCTCCAGCAGGCATGAGTTCATGTCAGCCCACATTTTTGGCACATCTTGGTGTTGTCAGACTTATTTGTTGCCAGTGTGTGAACATGTATTGGTATCTTGTGCGGGGACTAGCTTTTCACCCATCTCCATCAGATAAGAAGGCGGAGATTGACATCCTGGCTGCAGAGTACATCTCCACAGTGAAGACGCTTTCTCCAGACCAGCGTGTGGAGCACTTACAGAAGATCCAGAGCGCCTATAGCAAGTGCAAGGAGTACAGCGACGACAAGGTGCAGCTGGCCATGCAGACCTATGAGATGGTGAGGAGGCAGGAGGGAGGAGGGGAGGTGGCCCACAGGCTCTTCCCACCAACATTCACAAAGCAAAAGGGAAAGGCCGCTCAAAACCAGGCACAGCCAAGTGGAAGTTTGGCTTTCATAGAGTGATACTTCTAGAGAAAGTACAAATTGGGGATATCTCTCACCTGGGACCATTTCTGTGGATTTTTTTTCTGGACCCTTTTGTTTGTTTATTTGGTTGGAAGAGCAATTTGTTTTTTAATATTTTTTCTGTGTTTGGTTTTGTCAGTTGAGGTAACATTCTAGAATTTGTTTTGTCTCGTTTCCTCTCAGGTCACCTTCACTCAGGGCTCATACTCAAGGAAAACTCAATGCTTATTATGTGGAATTTTGAGGCCCCAAACTGCTAAATCTTTAGACTAAGCAGATTGTTTTCTATAAAGTTAAGTTTCATCAGTTGTCATAAAGACAGTCAAATTTTCTCCCTATTACATATTGAAGTTTAATATTGTAGTTTGGCTGGTTGTGGTGGCTCATGCCTGTAATCCCAGCACTTTAGTAGTTGGAGGCGAGAGGATTGCCTGAGTCCAAGGGTTTGAGATCAGCCTGGGCAACTTGGCAAGATCTCAACTCTACAATAAATTAAAAAAATAGCCAGGTGTAGTGGTGTGTGCCAGTAGTTCCAGCTACTTGGAAGGCTGAGGCGGAAGGATCTCCTGAGTCTAGCAGGTTGAGGTTGAGGTGGCCATGAGCGTGCTGCTGCACTCCAGCATGGACGACAGAGTGAGATCCTGACTCAAAAAAAGATTTTAGTTTATTTCCTGACAAGGTGTTGAGCGTTCCTCTGTGGACTGTGACATTATTGTATTGACCAAATGTCATAAGTTAGTTAGATGAAGGAGAGGAGCTATGGAGTCCTCGTAATTGCTCAGTAGGAACATTTCCTCTTTTAAAAGCAGTGTGGTAATTTATCTTGTTCCTATTGCTTTGACCATATTGTCTTCTATTTCTTTCTTCCAGCTGGTCCTTTTCTGTTTTCTTTTTTGTTTTTCATTATTCTTCTGTTTAAGAACTAATATGTTCTTTATATTTTTTTGATTTTCTTTTTTGAGATGAGGTCTCACTATGTTGTCCAGGCTGGCCACAGACTCCAGGGCTCAACCCAGGCTGGAATGCAGTGACATGTTCATGGCCACTGCAGCCTCGACCTGCTGGGCTCAGGTGTTCCTTCCACCCCAGCTGGAGCAGGAGGATTGTCAAGCAATCCTCCTGCTCCAGCTTTCTGAGCAGCTGGGATTTTGGGTGTGCACTACCACACATGGCCAGATTTTTACATTAGGATTCAAGTCAGGTGCTGGTGGCTCATGCTTGTAATTCCAGCACTTTGGGAGGTTGAGGCGAAAGGATTGCCCAAGCCCAGGGGTTCGAGACAGTCTGGGTAACTTGGCGAGACCTTGTCTCTACAATAGATTAAAAAAAAAGTAGCCAGGTGTGGTGGTACATGTCTGTAATTCCAGCTACTTGGAAGCTGGGGTGGAAGGAGCACCTGAGCCCAGCGGGTCGAGGATGCGGTGGCCATGAACATGTCACTGCATTCCAGCCTGGGTTGACAGTGAGACTCCAACTCTAAAATAAATGAATGAATGAATATATATATATATTCAGTATCAAATGTCTCCATGCCTTATTTCATTTCATTTCACATCTCTGTTTCTCATTAATGCCTGTACTCAAGTTTTTTTCTTTTCTTTTTTTGAGTCGGCTGGAGTGCAGTGGCACACTCATGGCCACCATGGCCTCGACCTGCTGGACTCAGGTGATCCTTCCACCTCAGCCTTCCAAGTAGCTGGAACTACAAGCATGTGCTACCACGCCTGGCTAATTTTTTTTATTTATTGAAAAGACGAGGTCTCACCAAGTTGTCCAGACTAGTCTTGAATCCCTGAGCTTAAGCAGTCCTCTTGGCCTGGCTCCCAAAGTGCTGCCATTACAGGCTTGAGCCACTGTGCCTGGCCTTCATGTTTTTTTCTTAAGTGGAATTTATTCTGCCGAGGTATCAAAGAGTGCAGGAAAAAAAAAAATTCCTTGCATAAATCTTGAAATATTGGGCCTTGTTTTGATAGAGCTTTTGTTAAAAGCAAAATCCTTACATAAATTTTGAAATAGTGGGCCTTGTTTTAATAAAGTTTTTGTTAATTGAAGACTCAATTAATGGGCCAGAAAGTGCTTCCTGGTGGACTTCTCAGTGCAATTGTGATTTCTGAAGGATTTTGTTTTTAACTTTAAAATAAGTCTTTGAACATCCTTTTTAGGTAGACAAACACATTCGAAGGCTCGATGCGGACCTTGCGCGCTTTGAAGCAGATCTGAAGGACAAGATGGAGGGCAGTGATTTCGAAAGCTCCGGAGGAAGAGGGTTAAAAAGCAAGTCTGTTAATTTTTTCTTTATTACTATTAACTATGGAGTTTTGAGGAATTTTGTCAGTAAATGTATTAGGATTATTATAGGTAAATATTATACTTGGCTCAATCTTGTCTTGCTTTAGTGAATTCTATGAAAATAATTTTGGTCTTTATTGTTTTCAGAAGGTCGGGGTCAGAAAGAAAAAAGAGGGTCCCGGGGCCGAGGCAGGAGGACATCAGAAGAAGATACACCAAAGAAAAAGAAACATAAAGGAGGGTAAGAGGCTTCTCCCTCTTTTTCCCAAAAGAACAAACACCATGAGCATTTGTTCAGGATATAGAAAGACCGATGAAGGCTGACCCTAAGTGAATCCCACCATGTGCCAGGTAGAGGTCTAGTTCTTAGTGCTTTACGCCTATAAGCTCATCCTCACAGCAGCCTTTGCAGGGAATGCCGTTGTCACCAGTGTTTCAGTGTCACAGGGACCTGCCCAGGCTTGAGAGCTGCTTCAGTGGAGCCAGGCTTGCGCTCAGAATTTGACTCCAGTTCCTATCCTCTTAGCCACTGGGTGTGCTGCCCCTCAAGTGGCAGGAGGATGGCGAGAGTGTTATTGACAGAGTTCAATGTAAGCCACTCCTTAAGTAGCTGAATTATTATATATCTGTTCATTATTTTATATATAAATATATATTTTACATATATTCATTGTTAAATTGTGACCACATTTATTAAATATACATGTCATTTAACTTGAACTTCTTCAAGATATTTTATTTAAAGCGTTCTCCCACTGACACATGTCCCCCAAGGTATTATAGCTTTGTTTCATGGAAGTGATATTTAGACTAAAGATAAAATGGTAAAATGCCACATAGCTTCTATGGAGATGATTCTGACAGTTAGGAGAAGAGGTCAGAAGAAGGCGTCTTGATTTTTTTTTAAAAAGGGAAAAGTTTCAGTTCTTAAACCTGGTGTTTAAACTTTTATCTTTAAAAAATTTCAACACTTTTGTATTGTAAAGTAATACCCAAGTACAGAAAAGCACACACAACAAGCATAGTTAAATGAATTAATGTAAGGTGAACATCTTTGTAACCTAGTCAGTGACTAACTTTGCTGCTAGTAGTCATTCTATGTGCTCTGTCAAAGTCATACCTCCTTCCTCTACCCCTAAATAAACATGATCCAGATTTCTATACTGTTTATTCCCTCTTGTTTCTTTATAGTTTTATCTCCCAAGTGTGTTCCTAGATACTATACATTATAGTTTAGTCTTGCTGTTTTTTTAACCAAGTTAATTAATAATTTACGTACAATAAAATATTATCATTTTAAGTGTACAGTTTGATGCTTCAGTTTCTTTAAAGTTATAGAAGTGTTCAGGCTTTCTATTATTTTTTTAAGTCAGTTTTGTAATCTGTGTCATTCAAGAAATTTGTCTCATATAAATTGCCAGATTTTTGATATCAAGTTGTTAATAATGTATTATTGTCCTTCAGATGTTATAGGGTCTGTAATGATGACCCTTTTTGCAGTCCTACTACTGATAATTTGTATTTTCTCTCATTTTGTCTTGATTTTTCAGTGAATTTTTAGTTTCATTGAATTTTTTTTTTTTTTACTATGTTCTCTTTTTTGTTTTCTATTGTATTTATTTCTGTTCTTTGTTAGTTCCTTGTACTTATTTTGGATTTACTTTGCTTTTCTTTCTCTAGCTTTTTTGGATCATTGTTTGTTTTTTTTTTTATATCTTCCTTTTTCTAATTACTCTTTTAGTTGTATTCCACAAATTTTGATACATTGTGTTTTTATTTTTATTCTGTTTAACATATTTTAAAATCTTTGGGATTTTTTTCTTTGCCCTATAGCTATTGTAGAAGTGTATTTTTCAATTTCTAAATAGTTCGGGATTTTCTAGATAACTTTCTGATTTTAATTTTTAGTTTAATTTTATTGGGGTCAGAGAACATACTATAATGGAAATCCTCTGAAATCAATTAAAACTTGTGTTAGGACCAGCCTGGGCAACTTGGTGAGACCTCAGCTCTACAATAATTAAAAAAAAAAAAAAATTAACCAGGTGTGGTGGCACGTGCCTGTAGTTCCAGCTACTTGGAAGGCTGAGGTGGAAGGATCACCTGAGGCCAGCAGGTCGAGGCTACAGTGGCCATGAGCGTGCTACTGCACCCCAGCCTAGGTGACAGTGAGACTTCAACTCAAAAAGAAAAAGAAAAGAAAAACAAAACTTGTGTTAGGACCCAGTGTATTATCTGTCTTGCTGAATGTTCCATGTGCTCTTGAAATGAATGTGTATTTTACTGTTGTTGGGTAGAATGTTCTATGCATTTCAATTAGATAACTTGGTTGATAGTGTTGCTTAAGTCTTCTGTGTCCTCACTGATATTCTGCTTATCCTATCAGTTACTGAGAGAGGAGTGTTAAAGTCTCCAACTCTAGTTTTGGGTTTGTCTATTTCATCTTTCAGTTCTGTAAGTTCTTCAGTTTTCGCTTTATATATTTTGAAGTTCTGTTGTTTGATACATACATATTTAGGGTATTTTTTTTACTCCTTTGTTATTATGAAATGTCTCTCTTTATTCCTTGTAATATTTGTTATTTTGAAGTCTACTCTGTCTGCTATTAATATTAATGTAACCACTCTAGGTGTTAACAATATGAGTTTTAGCATGGTATATCTCTTTACTTTTTTATCCTTTCAACATGTTTGTATTTTTGTATTTAGAAGGGTTTCTTGTAGGCAGCAAATAGTTGAGTCATGTTTTTTATCTAGTTTGACAATCTCTGCCTTTTCATTGCAATATTTGGACCTTTCACATTTAATGTAATTAATGATGTGACTGGATTTAGATTTACCATCTTGCTATTAGTTTTCTGTTTGTCTCTTCTGTTCTTTTTGACTAATTGAGTAATTTTTTTAGTACTGTTGTCTTATTAGCTAAGCTTCTTTGCTTTGTTTAAGGATTGTTCTGGTGTATACACTGTTCCATTAACTTACCATGATGAACTTCAAATATTATACTCTTTCATGTTTCTTGTAAGATCCTACATAAGTACTCTTTCATTTCTTGCCTCCTGTCCTTTGTGCTACTGTCATTTATTTTACTTCTGCATATAAGCCTTACCTTTTACTTTAGGTGTAAACCATTGATTATCTTAAGCAGATTTTAAAATATGCTTATATGTGGAATCTAAAAATGTTGAACTTACAGAAATAGAGAGTAGAATGATGATCAGGTGCTGGTGTGGTTGGGAGATGTTAGTTAAAGGATACAAAATTTAAGTTAGATAGGAGGAATGAGTTCAAGAGATCTATGGTACAACATGTGATTACAGCTGATAGCAATGTATTATGTTTTGGAAAATGAGTCAATTTTAAGTGTTCTCACCACAAAAGTCACCCCATATATAGTTATATATATTTGCCATTTCTGGTGGCCTTCATTTCCTTATGTAGATGCAGATTTCTGTGTGGTGTCATTTCTCCTCTGCCTGAAGAACTTTTTCATTTTTTTTTTTTTTTATAGTACAGGTATACAGGTATACTGATAGTGATGAATCCCCTTAGTTTTTGTTTCCTTGATAATACCTTTATTTCACTGGATATAGAATTTTAGGTTGACCTTTGTTTTTTCTTTTATCACTAAAGATTTCTCTAATTCTGTCTTACATTGATTCTGATGAGAAATTAGTGATAATTATTATCTTTATTTTGCTTCTTCTAAGATTTCTCTTTATTTTTTTTCATTGTCAGACAAGTAATGTGCTGACATCGTAAAAAGGTTTGAGGGTGACACATCTTAAATATGGTGCATGAATACCCAATCATCTTGCTTATAATCTACAAAAGTACCAGATTTCTCTTTATCACTGTTTTTTAGAAACTTGATTATGATGTGTCCTGGTATGAGTTTTTGGTTTTTTTCCCTACTTTGTGCCAGTCTCCCTTCTGAGTACTTATCCTTATAAGAATGCCATGAAGCTAGGGGGTGGTGGCACACACCTCCTAGTAATGTTGCAGCATCAGGCTGCCCTGCTTCGAGGCAGGTTCTGTTTCCGTGTTGGGGACCTGGGAAGGTACTCTGTCATGTCCCCATGACCTGGTGTCTTTAGGCTTACTTACCACCAGGGCTGAGAGGCCTTCCTGGAGTGCAGTATTCCCAGACCACAGAGATGTTGTGTCCCATCTGAGCTATAAACTGAGGTTGCCTCTCATATTGTTGCTGCCCCAGGGCCCTGCTCTCTGGGAAGGCAGAACCTATGTGTACAGACAGAGGAGGCAATGCCGCCTGCGACCCTTGAAATCCCAAAGCTTGGACAGGCAGTCAGCCTCCTGCTGGGATCTTTCTGGGGTGCCAGGGGAAGCCATTGAGGGGTTAGGCATGGAGGGGCTCCCTGGTACTGCCTGGTAAGGGATGCCCCCCACGCCCAGGGGAATTAGCATGGAGCCTCTTGTGGCCAGGAGGGCTAAGGTAAGTCAGTGAGCAGCCCCAGGGATGGGCTCCCTGGGACCTCCTGACTGATTCCCTCTGGGGTTGGTGGCAGCACCCACTGGCACATGTGCTCCCTCAGGTGAGACTGGAGAGGCAAGTAAGGCCACCATGCTGCTGAGACCTCCACACTGGCCTCAGCTCCTGAGGTGTCCTTGCTGAGTGGTTTTCGTAGTCCCTCTGGCCCTCTCCCACTGCCTGGATCTGACTGGTACGCTTGAACCTAGTGATTCTGGCAGATGCAGGCAAGAGGCAGTTCTGGGGTGTGGGAGTTCAGTCAGGCTTTGTAGGCACAGCACACAGAGGCACTGAAACGGAGTGAGTGCAGAAGAGGAGGACGTCACAGAGAGTTCAGGGGGTTTGCTGGTGGTGGTCAAGAGGATGCTGCACTGAGGATCCAAGGGCAGAAGGGGATGCGAGGAGACCACAGATGGGCAGGACGGAATCCAGCAGGTGGATGAGATGCAGAATGTCACATACCGTTCTCAGAGGAGGAGCCTGAAGACTGCTCGTGACTGTTGGTTGAAAGCAGTGTTGGCAGAGCACCTGAACTTGAACAATTTTTTGTTACATTTATAGATTTTGGATATAACAAGAAAGCTGCGTCTATTCTGAGAGAGAGTGAGAGAGAGAAGAGAGAGAGAAGAGAGAGAGAGATGGAGCAGAAGAGCAGATTACCTGCAAAAGAGAGAGGCAGACAGGCCTTGGAGCCCTCTTGGGTGGCACTGGTGCCAGAGGGCAGTGGGGTGGCTGGTGTGACACTGAGCCTGAATGTGTGTTTGCATGTGTGTATGTATATAATTACAAAGGTGTAGAAAAGCTTGAGCAGGTATGCAAGAAAACGGTGAGCGTTGATTCCCTCTGGGACCCAGACTTCTGCTGTTCATTTTACCCTGCTCACGACTGTATCTTGTCTTCCCATGGTCCACATTCCTCATGCGTCCTGTGCGCTCTCTCTCTCTCTCTCTCTCTCTCTCAGTCTGTGTGTATGTATGTATTTATTTATTTTGAGTTAGAGTCTCACTCTGTTGCCCAGGCTGGAGTGCAGTAGTACAATCATGACTCACCATAGCCTCAAACTGCTGAGCTCAGGTCATCCTCTCACCTCAGCCTTTTGAGTAGCTGGGACTACAGATATGTGCCACCAAGCCTGGCTAATTTTTTTTTTTTTTTTTTTTTTGTAGAGACGAGATCTCACTATATTGCCTAGGCTGGTCTCAAACTCCTGGGCTCAAGCAGTCCTTTTGCCTCGGCCTCGCAAAGTATTGGGATTACAGGCATGAGCCACTTCACCCAGCCTGGCTTTGCCATTTTCTTACTGTGGCATTGGGCACGTCCCTCTACCTCTCTAAACCTCAGAGGAGGAGTGACTAGGACGTCGTGTGGTCTGAAGTGGCTCCGCTGCCAGGTGGGCAGCTGGGCGGGTGGTGGTGGGCCCCAGGGAGGGTGAGGGGAGCTGTCAGTTTTGTGAGTTTTGGGGCAGAGATGCCTGAGTAGGGGTGTGGTGGGCTTGGGCATGGGACACACTGGTGGGTCTCATGGGAGGAGAGTGCAACCGTCCTGGTTATGGGAGAGCTATCGACTGTGTGGACCACTCTGGCACTTGGTGAGTCTGGGTGGGATGCAGGCAGGTTTCTCTTAGATGTCAGCTGTCTGCTGGTGGGTGGTGATGTGTGCTTGCCCTGGAGGGGGCAGGAGGCCTGGAGGGATGGCAAGATGGGAGGGGTGGCCAGAAGCCTCACAGAGGTTCAGGGGTCAGTCCTGTCTGGGAGAAGAGACTCAGACAAGGGTGGACTCATGTCCCCAGAGTAGGACAGGACCCTTGATCTTTTGTGGTGAGTGTTGCACTTTACAGCCTTTCAGACATCTTCTGTGCCCCATGTCCTCATCTGGGTCTGTGTGGTGGTGGTGGGGGTATATCTCCATCCCTCTGCTGCCCGTTCTTGTTGTTTCTAGATTTTTGTGGTTAATCATATTCTAGTGAAATCTTTTCAGCTAATAATTTGTTCACATCTTGACTTATTTTCTTACTGTAAATTCTTAGAAGAACATTACTTGATAAGAGGAGTTATTGAGGTTTTGATTGACAATGTGTGATTCAGGAAGAAAACACCCATGAAGTACATACTCAGTGCATGTCTTCAGTCACAGGCCCTGGAGTTGCATCCATTTCTAACGGTAATAACAATGGAAGCAAGTTATTTGTTATCAGTAGCTCAGCACATGTTACAGATTTTCCCCTTGAAAAATAATCATCTTCATAGTTATGGGGTCGACACTGCCTCACTTCCTGCCGTGGCCTTCAGCACTGCCTGTCCTGCCCGCCCCTCCCCCACCTTAGGTCTGAGTTCACCGACGCCATCCTGTCTGTGCATCCCTCCGATGTGCTGGACATGCCAGTGGATCCAAATGAGCCCACATACTGCCTGTGCCACCAGGTCTCCTATGGGGAGATGATCGGCTGCGACAATCCAGACGTGAGTGTCACAGGCATCACAGACAGTCTGGCCTGTGGGACACACATGCCCTGCGGTAGGGTCTTGTAGGGGGTAGGGCTCAGGGGCATTGGCATTTCCCTGTGTTTCACATAGAGAATACAAGAGGTGTTAACTGTGGCTTTTCTCTTTACTTGGCAGTGTCCGATTGAGTGGTTTCACTTTGCCTGTGTGGATCTTACCACGAAACCCAAAGGAAAATGGTCAGTATGGGGGTGCTGGGTCCATTTTCTCCCAACCTGTTGGACGCTGTGCCTCTGGCCTACCTATTGCTGGGATCTGGGCTGTGCAGCTGGTGCTGAGTGGCAACAGCTGGGCTTAGCCAGATCCAGTAGGTATGCATACACTTGAAGCCTCAGGAGCAGGTCCATTTGTCTGGCGGCTGTGGGTGTGGCTGTGTGTGCCTGCCTGCCACTGCAGCATCAGTGCTGGTTCCTGGGACTGAGCTCAGAGAGGGATATCTACTGCCCATCTCACCAGGGACACATAGTTATTATGTTTGTATAATATCCACATTCGTATCTTTCTACAGAACAACCATCCTGACTCTTTTGAATAAGGTGGAGGTCATGTTAAATGAGAAATGAGAGGTTCTTGTCCCCTAGGGAAATTTGAGGAAAGATGAAGAGTGTGGGAACTGATGGCACTGAAGCCAGCTCTCCTGACTGGGTCTCTGTTAGTGAGAAGTAGAGCAGGAGGACATGAGCAATTTCTCTTCTTGATCCTTGTATTCAGTTGGCAACAATGACTTTTTGTATTTTTATTCCTAAGATTTCATTTAAATAAAAACCTGGCTTTTCCAGCCTGGATAACTTGGTGAGGCCTCATCTCTACAAAAAATAAAAAAATTAGCCAAGCATGGTGGCATCCACCTGTAGTGCACTCCAGAAGGCTGAAGTGGGAGGATACACCTGAGCCCTGTGGTAAGCTGTGATCGTGCCACTGCACTCCAGCCTGGGTGACTGAGACCCTGACTCAAAAAAAAAAACCCCAAACTGGCTTTGTTTACCTGTGCTGAAAATGGATATGTGTTCTGACAATAGGATTTGTAGGATTTATCTTTTTGTGTAGCTAGTACCCAGAGTTATCCTTGGGTCTTTGGTGCGAGGACTGCAGAGGGAAAGGAGGGATGGACACCATGTCTCAGGGGCTGGTCTACCTCATGATGTCACATGATGTTGACATAAGCCACCTTGTTACGGGCACAGATGACACTGCCCCTTGCCCCACACTGTGTATGCCACAGGACAGTGCACCTGGAGTTTTGAGAAGGAACACAGAGGCTATTAGGGCAGAGGTCCCCAGCGGGTCCAGGCCCATGCCTGGGGGGATGTGGAATTTGCTGTCACATGCGAGTCTCTTGTGTGGGGAATCTCCTGGGATGTCCCTTTGTGTTGTGAGTGGCATGTTCAGGAGACCCTTGTGTCTGAGGCTCTGGAACTTGCTTGTCCCAGAATCACCAGGAAACGCTTGGGAAACATGCAGAGTCCAGGGCCTGGTACAGGGGTTTTGGGCCTGGGGTCCAAGGCCCTCTAGCCCCACAGACTCCAGCCACAGTGGACACCAGCAACTCTGTTATCTGCTAGGGAAGGATGATTAACTTGGTCAGGAGGAATGTGCATGTGTGAAAATACTTTTGCTCATTGATGTGTGTCTGTTAACTTTAAAATAGACAGACTAAATAGAGCATCCACATAGTAGTGTTTTCCTGATGGGAGAGCCATACCCTTGCTCTGTGTACATCTCTGGTGGCCCTTTCTCAGCAGAGTCCAGCAGCCCTGGGAGATGCTGGGCACCTTGCATGCTGGTGGCAATGACACAAAGGGCCTCACTGTGCCTTTCTTATCACAGGTTCTGTCCACGGTGCGTCCAGGAAAAGAGGAAGAAGAAGTGAGGAGGAACTGTATGCCCAGATCAGAAGAGCAAGTTAATATATTCCTTCATTCATGTTGCAATATTTCCTTTCATTTTAAAACTACCTTGTTCAATTGATATTTAATAACTCAATGGCCAGTTATGATTCTGGATGTTTCCTAAAACAAACTACCGAACCCTGTTTGTGCAGAGGAGCAATCTCACAGGGACTTGTCACCATGACTATATTGTGACTTTTTATAGGACTCCCCCCAGCATTAGCGTGGCAGTCACCAAACGAGCCTGAGTGAACTTAAGCTCGGGTGCCAGACCAAGCACATGGGTGGGGTGGAGACATTTTAACCTGGTACACCGCCACCACTTTGTAGCTAGAGGTGTCACCCTTATGTAGTCTGTTTGTAGTTTTCTAGAACTGTTTGGTATAGCACGGGCTCCACACACCCCAAGACCACTGAAGCACATCTGTCACTATGAGGCACGTGTGAGGTCCAGCTCAGTGACAGCCAAGAGTCTCCTTCACTCTCAGTTCTACTTTGATTCTGGCCTCCGTGGACTCTTGGTAAGGATGCCTCTGACATTCCTGGAGGGCCTGGGGGTTCTTCCCAGGAGGACATGGCCTCTGCTTCACTGTGCACTGCCTTTTTAGTTTGGACTTCAGTCCTCCCTTGGGGGACTCACATCCTAGAGTAAACAGCCCTTCATTAGCAAACAGGCTGTCGGTTCCGTGACCAGCATCGACAAGGGACAGCGTAACAGCTGGGCGGATGTTGCGTTTCTCTGGGAATTCCTAACGTTTTTACTGTGAAGATGAAATTCTTATAATAGCATGAAGATTGTGGGTCTGTGTGTCTGTGAAGTGTGTCCAGTCCACTCAGAGCTGAGTATACCCTGCTCGTGTTGCGCATTGCCGGGCCAGCAGCTGATGTCCAAGGGGACTTCCTGTGATGTGGTATGATTTGTGAATTTGTTGTGCCGCGTAGCAGTTCTGGAATGAAGCTAGGAAACTAGAGTGTACTTCTTGTTAATCAGCATTCACCAAACCGATTTTGAACTGTCTTTTTGTAATAGTTGGGGAAGAATGCATACATTTGGTCTGTTGAGATCCATTTGTGATGGTACCTAAAATGTGACTCCCACAAGCATCCTCGGCTCTGGGAAACCCTCTTGCATGCATTTAGAGGAGGGAGAGGATTCCAGAAGAACGAAGGAAAGCCTGTTTCTGTCCCCACATCAGAGAAAGAAATCTATGAGGGAACTGAGACATGAAATTCCCATTAAGAAAAGTCTCATTTTCTTTATGAAGAGGGTCATCCGGAATGATGGACTCATTTTCTTCTGATAGCTGCATTTGTAGTATGTTTTCCTCCTGTTTTCTAAAGTTTCAATGAGGAGAGGAAAAAAAGCAGAAAGGAACTTGAGAAGCTCTGTGTCTCAGACAGGGCTACCCCCTGCAAGAAGCTCATTCAGTGAATAAGAACCAGAACATCAAAGAACAGTCCTGGTCAGGATGTTGTCTAACTCCATGATTCCCAGCCATCCCTAGACCATACAGGATGTTTCTAGACTGCCTGTCCTTCCAGGGAGTCAGCTGAGGAGCAGGACCTGCTCTCAGATGCCTGCCAGTGGGGTTACTGGGTGCATGCTGGCCCTGCTGAGGCAGCAGGTGCTGGGCAGATATAGGTGGATAGTCGGCAGCTGCTATAGCTCGCCTGGAGGAGCTTCCTGAGAGCCGATGACTTCCTCAGAAGGGAGAAGGCCCCACTAGCTTTAGAGAGCTAGCTGGCCACCCTGCTTCACACACCCCTCAGTCTCAGCATGGCCGGGAAACTAGAGATGTGTTGTTGTTTAGTAACTTAGCTTTCTGTGAACATAGGTATTTAAAGGTAATGGAGAATAAACTGTGGGGAAAAATATTCTCATTCTTTCACCATTTTTTGTGGAGAGGGGAGTTTGTAATAAGGCAATGCCTGATGATTGTTTAGATGCTAATTTAATATTTTTGCTTTACCTGGAACTGTTCAGACTTGCTTTTATCACTGGAAATAACTAGTGTGTGTTGATGTAGGTTTTTGAGGGTTGAGTAGGGTTTGACTGGCATCTGGCTTCCTGAAGCTTTGCTGCCTCCCCAGAAAGATGACTGCTTCTTTGTGGGAAGCTTTCATTTAATATGTGATGATGTCACCCTGCTTGTCACTGTGTACCATCCCATGTATTGACTTTTGATCTTTTTTATTTAAGTTTCTGTGTGTACTGTTTTTAGTGTTTATTTTTGCCAGTTACAATAATATCACCAAAATAATATGTGTATAGCTTTGAGAAAACACAAGCAGAATAGGACAGTTCCTTGGGACAAAGTTTGGATCCTGACTGAATGCCTCTCTTGACTGTCTGCTCACAGGAGAGACATTCAGAAGTGGCTGTTTAGTTCAAAAAGAATGTCATTTCATCTGGCCTGGCGTCCACCCTGCAGGGATGGCAAGCCGTGCTGCTTGTACCATTCAAGTGCCACTCTGGAAGGCTTGGCTGCCTTCTTCCTAGGGGTGATTCAGGGGAGTCATCTAAGACCAGACCCCCCTCCACACCTGTCTGGCTTCAGACATGTCCCTTGGATTGAGGGCATCTGGGCAGGTCGCGGCTGGTCACTCTAGCAGCTTTATCTGAGCCAAGGGTGTGAGTCCCTCCATGGCTGTGAGATTTACTTGTAAGGGAAAAAGTGTTTTGCTCAGAGAAGAAGCAAAATCATTTTTCATGTTATCAGTGCTACATTATAAGTCAGCAATTTGTGGAAATCCTCTCGTTTTCCTTTAGAAAAAGGAATGCTGCCTTTTAAAAAAAAGTTTGTTAAACTGAGCCCCAAATCTGTGAGTGTGCTTGTGGTGCTGCTGGCTGGGACACAGACACTAAGCTGAGGCCTGCGTGACTCACTGAACAGCAGCTGTCTGTCCACCTCTTGCCAGTCAGAGCCCCTGGACAGGTGCACTTGAGGCCAGTACTGGCCAGGACCATGGGGCCAAGTGTCTTCCAGTCTGCCTGGGGCAGTGAGAAACAGCTGTGTGGGCCAGTGGCAGTGGTGGGAGGGTTTGTTGGAATGGATGGGGACAGTGGCCAGCTCTGTCTCACTCCTGTCCCATGGCCACACCACACTTGAATCCTGACCCGTCACTGGGAGACCTGACTGGGGCTTCTTTGAGCAATAACGCTGCCCAAGAGCAGCTTCCCACATGACCACAGAGCCAAGGGTCTGCCCTGTCCTGGGACTTGGAGGTTAGGTCTCCATGGTTTAGCATCACACAATGAGGGATATTTATTATGGGCATTGAAGATTTAAGATTTTCCTAAATTTTTAGTGAACAGTGATTGGCCTTCATTACCTGTGCTGAGAGGAATTTTAAAGCAAGGGAAGTGTAAGAAAAAATGTTCTCATTCAGGAGAGAGTTTTATCGAAGTTTCTTTCTTCCTATGTATGTATTTTGTGGTGTTCACCTTTAACCACATTTCATCCAAAAAGATGATGCAGCTTTAACATGAATGTTACATTTTATTTTCAAGGAATTATTATCTATGTTCCCTTTGTAAAGGAAAGATAATATTGTAAATCTTTTTATTAAATAATGTAAAGATGTATATCTGTATTTTTGGATCATGTTATAGATTATGGATATATTGTTTTAATAAATAAAATATTTTTTGGAACAAACACTTGAAAGTGCATCATTTCAGGAAATGAGTATAATTTCAGCATTGTGTTCAGAGGGATCTTAAATTGAATTTTAAAGGGGATGTGCAGTGAGTGAGAAGAGAGTGGTTAGGGGAGCTTGCTGGCCATGGGACTGGATGGCACCCTGTGCTTCACTGTAGCTGGGTGCTCTTGAAAGCCAGTGGCCAGCACTGGGTCTCTGCTATGTTGTAGCATCTATAGTTGATTCCCAAGCTCACAAGACAGATGTGTGTGTAAATGAGAAGGCTATGGGTTGCTTTATGCAAGTGTGCCATGCTTTCTCTGGAGCGGAGTGACAGTCTTCTGAGACTTTTATGGGTGTGGAGATCCCTTTGGAAGCTGTCCTCGTGTGGGCTGCCATCACAAAATACCACAGACTGGGGCGCTTAACAGAAACTTATTTCTCATAGTTCTGGAGGTTGGAAGTCTAAGATCAAGGTTCTGGTGGTGCTGGTACCTGCTGAGGGCTCTTCCCTTGAATTGCAAACAGCCACCTTCTCGCTGTGTGACAGGGAGGGAGAGGGAGCTCTCTGGTATCTCTTCTTATATGGACAGTAGTCCTATCTAATCAGGGCCCTACCCATATGAACTCCTTTAGCCTTATCTGCCTCTTTTGAGGTATATTCTTCTCCAAATACAGTAACATTGTATGAATCTTGGGGGACACAAACATAACAGGAGCTGACTGGTCTCAAGACATTCCCATGAGCAGCATTAACAGAGTCCAGAAAGAACTTGGTCACCATAATGGAGAGTCAGCCTCTTCCCTGGCTTGCCAGGTGAAAACCAATCCACAGATCCAGGATCCTTGCTGAAAGAGGAGGCTGAGATGCTGGAAGAAGGGCTCTGTAACACTGCCATCAACATGCACTGTTTTTCTCCTAGGCTTCTCCAAGGGTATCTGCAGCCTTTGCTAGGGTGACTGCCCTGGGAAAAAGAAAAAAACAAAACAAAACAGAAGTTCTTTTCAGGGGTTGGGTTGTGTGGTAGTCTACTTATTCTGAATTGTTACTAATCCCAGGGATACAAGATGCCACTGGCCCATTACTCAGAGTGAGGATGTGTGTTGTCAGGTGGTAAGTGGGCCCACAGACACCTCTTGGTTGTCATTCCAATTCCTAGATGTAGAATTCAAACATATATTTGGCAACAGGCAAGCTCCCATGCTGACTGACCTGTAGAGCAAGGGCCACATAGTGAGAAAGGCCAGGAGGAGGTCTTAGGAGCCTCCTCTCCCTACAGAGTATTAGTCAAAGGCAAGAGGCATCCTTGACTTGGAAGATACAGGGCTGATGTGCTCAACACCTCCTGCTTGAAGAGGATAGCCAGACCTTGGGGATGTGATTTATGGAAGACGGGTGATGCTTCCACTGCAGCTGCTGCTCCACCGAGGGTGTGGTTACTAGGACACACCCCCACTCTCCCCGTATGTGGCATGCAGCTATTGACCTGTCAGATGTTTGCTTTCTCTGTGCCAATTAGAAAGTATCCCCCCTAGCCGGGCTCAGTGGCTCAGCCTGTAATTCCGCGCCTTTGGGAGGCTGAGGTGAGTGGATTGCCTGAGCCCACGGGTTCGAGACCCGCCTGGGCAACTTGGTGAGACCTCATCTCTACAATAATTCAAAAAATGAGCCGGGTGTGTAGCGCACGCCTGTAGTTCCAGCTACTTGGAAGGCTGAGGTGGAAGGATTGCCGGAGCCCAGCAGGTCGAGGCTGCGGTGGCCGGGAGCGGCCACTGCACTCCAGTCTGGGTGACAGAGTGAGACTCCAACTCAAAAAAAAAAAAAGAAAGTATCCCCCAAATTTGTTTGTTGTTACTTGGTGAAGTCTTCACCTCCCGTACACTCTCCCAGATGTGTCTTAGGGCTTTGTGAACACTCTTGGTCTCTGCTCTAATTTGGTCAAAAATCTTTATCTTGACATCCCACAGGACATCCCTTTAGTCTCCATCACTGATGACATATGGAATTGGGTGAACTGAAGTAAGTATCGGAGATGCCTCAGCAAGAACCAGGGGGGCTTAGCCAGGTGCGGTGGCTCACTCCTATAATTCCAGAACTTTGGGAGGCAGAGGCAAGAGGATTGCCTGAGCCAGGGGGTTTGAGACCAGCCTGGGCAACTTGGCAAGAACTCATCTCTACAATTAATAAAAAAATAAGCCAGGTGTGATGGCACATACCTGTAGTTCCAGCTACTTGGAAGGCTGAGGCAGAAGGATTGCCTGAGTCCAGTAGGTCGAAGCTGCGGTGGCTGTGAGGGTGCCACTGCCTGGGCGACAGAGTGAGACTACAACTCAAAAAAAAAAAAAAAACCAATGGGCCAGAGGCTGGGAGATAAGCCTTACTCTGGATACCGGTTATGGTATCAGAGAAGCGGAAACCACCGACCTAGCCATTTAATTTAGGGTATAAAGGGCTGAAAAAGCAAAAAAGGAACACTGAGGCAACAATAATTGCAGGAAGCAGCTACCACCCCTAACTTAAGTCTAGGGGACAAAGGTAGGAAAAAGGGTTCCATGTGGAGTTAGAAGCTTGGAAGGGGGCATCGCTGAGGATTCAGGACGCAGGAGACTTGCTACTTGGCTGATCCCAGTGCCTTAGAGGAGCTCCCATAAGGTGTCCCGCAGAGCTGGGATTCCTCTACCTGAGGAGTGGGTGTTATGTGATTGGTTTAAGGAGCTCAGGGAAGGCAGGGCTCTATTAAGCTGGGACTCAGCCTCTGAGGAGGTCAGCTCTTCTGAGTTTCCCTCACTTGAGTCCCAGACCTGGGTTTTTTGTTTAGGAATATTTTTGTTAAGCTATTTGGCATGATGCTCTTTGAGCTTTGAAGGGTTCAGCCTCCGCCGGTCGTTTTTTTCACTACCTGTAGAGATGTCTGCCTGATGGGCCAGGTCAATGGTGAGCCACAGACCGGTGGGGGGAGCCACCCTCGGGGCTCCACAGGACTCGAGAGTGGGCATTTACCCTCCTGTCCCAGTTGGGGTGGACGCGGTAGGACCTCGGGAATGGGCTCGTAAAGAGGGTGTACTGAGATCCCTGCTGGACAGTGCCAACCAAGGGTAAAAGCCAAGCTGTCCCTGTTTGGGACCCTCCTGCGCCGAAGGGGGAAGAGGGAGGAGCTGAAGGCGCACAGGGTGTAGCTTGTAGGGCGGAACCTATGGGTACACGGAGCGGGGCCTACAGGACCGGGTGGGGCCTGGAGGCGCAGGGGCGGGACCGGGAGGGTTCCTGTGCGCAGGCGCCGTCTCACCCCGCCTACTCTGGCTGGGCTGCGCAGAGCCGGCGGCGGCCGCTGTACCCCAGAATGGGGAC